TGTGTGTGTGTGTGCGTGTGTGTGCGTGTGTGTGTGTGTGTGTGTGTGTGTGTGAGAGAGCTGAATTACATGAAACATGTTCACCGTGATTGTAAAGAGTGCTTGTGTGCGTGCAGCGTTTAATCCCCTTACGTCAATAATCCCAAGACGCGTGTCCTCCCGTTGCGCTCGTGGCAAGATGCCCTTCAGCAAACACTACTCTGGACAAAATGTCTTGACATTTTCAAAGTGGGCGCACCAAAGACATTTGACTTTTCTGTATTCATCCGTACGCCTTGTCGTTGTAAACATTATGCAGCAATACTGTACACTATTTGTGCTCGGAATATCGTGTGATGGCAAGATGGGTCTCTGAAGAGAGTTTTTGTCTTTTTTTTTTTTTTTTTTGTCTCAAGTCTCAATGTTGATGAATTTGTCTTATGTGTGATTGTCTGTAGCACCCGTGCATGACAGGTTTCGCAAGCCAAAGATGGAAAGCCATATATAGAATGCATATTAGGGAACCCTGCTCTGTACTGTAGGCTCTTCTGTAAGCAATGTGTTGGTAGAGACCAATAGGCCAATAATGTCACCGCTTTATGTATGTATTATAAATGTTGTAGGAGCTGTACTGTTGGGGGCGGAGGTGGAAGGGTTCATGGGAAAAGTCTTCACATAGTAGTTGATTACGCTGCGGAACAATTTGAAAAAAACAATCTGTTGAGTTAGATTTTTATGCTGATTAAAACTCAAATTGGCATGCTGATTCCAAAATTGCATCTGTTTTGTTGTTTTTTTTTCTCTCTCGCTACAGCTTACCATTCAGGTTAGCAACATTTTCCGATTAGCTGGAATAAAACTGTAGCAAGAAGAACTGAGTCATATTGTGACTCATCTACAGTACAGCTATGTGGTCATTTGTTTGTGCAGTCACAATTGTGACGGTGCTGGGAGAGGTGCGTGCGGCTCCCAATACGTCAGTACTGTAAGTCAGACCTAACTCAAAAAAAAAAAAAAATTGTTCCCCCGTGTTATTTGTCAGTGGTGTTCTCTTTGCATGGTTTCTGTCAATCTTCGAGTTTGTCTTTATAATGCATATGTTCTGGAAATATGTAACGTATATGCAGACCACGGCAGAACTGCTGTGAAATTAAGCGCGTGACTCAAAAGGAAGAGCACAGTTTCAGCCTTAACACCTGTCATCAAGAGGCCTTCCATGTCTTTGCAAGCTTGTCTCGTCCATGTTGTCCAGTGTTAGTTCAATGCAGTCTGCGTACGCCGATGGGTGGGCGGGGTGGGGAGGTCTGCCCCCCACCCCGGTGTGTGTTCTCCCCTTCAGAGCAAAGGTGCTTCTGCCATCTCCAGGATTGGTATGATTGTCCTTTTTCCAACAAGCGATATTTGTATGGGTGAATGAACGGTACATCTATGTCTGTCACAGTATAACAATGCAAGTCTAATTTATGTAAATATGTTTTCAAAAATGTACAATATTTAAATAAAAAAGTCTATAGTATTTATATTAAAAAAGCATTTGAGTTGATTCATTCTTACTCATTACATTATTAGCTCTCAATGTATACATTTAAGTTCAATTTGCACAAAAACACCCAAGAGGTTACAATCTGTCTCACATCAGGCCAATCACTTAAGGTTTAATTGGTCATGTGCCACTGACACAGGAAGGACAGTGAGCTGGCACCTTATGAAAATTTCCACGAAATTAATAAATTTTTGGGTGATGAATTATTTTCCATGCACATTTGACCTTTTGTTCAATCTCATACCCTGAATACAAATGACCTGGTCAACCTGTGCCTTCTAAAAATCGACCGTGGCAAGAATGAATGGATTCGACGGTACCATGTGACTTTTATTATTGTAATACATCTACGATCCACAGGGGGCAGGTATGCTTGCCCTTGCAAAAAAGCGGCCTTCGTAGAAGACACCTGGGAACCGTTGTAGTCCGTAAATTGGACCGTCTTTGGTCGCGTTTGGTAAAAATTCCAACGACAGTTTCCTCTCCGTTCTTCGTTTTCCAAAGTTTACAGGTAAGTTTAAAACGCGTGTGTGTGTGTGTGAGAGAGAGAGCGTGTAAAGCTGCAATGTGGCTTTCAGCGTAATAGGGGGCGTTAGAGAGCTGTTTTCTTTTTTGTACTCCCAACTATACGAACGTGCTAGTCTGCATTCTTGCTGAAAGTAGCAGAGTTAGCGACGGCGTCATTCAGCTGGCAGGTGCGTGTGATATGTGCACGTTGGTTCCGAATCCGCACACCCCTTATAACTTTAGTGAGCTCTATTAATGAATTCGTTGAGGGATAATGACGCTAAATGCACAATGTGACTTAAGTATGGGGGGCTTAACAGCATAAAGCGAAGACGCATCCGTCCGCCCCCCTAGCAACCGTAGCGAGTTAGCATAAGCCCGTGCCTGTGGTTGAGATACAGTACATGGAGGCTTACGCAAGTACAAAACAAGGCCAGGGTGTTTAAGTTATTACCGAGGTGGTTTGCCTGCGAAGATAAATGTTGGCTAAATGGCAAAACCCGACAGGGACGATGGAGAGTTTGAGTTTCAGGGTAGCGCGGAGCAGCTGACAAGCAACGGGAGCACTCGGTCGTTTGGCTCCGATGCAGTCACACTGGACTCCGACGGCACTGAAACGTCTAGGGAGAAAGAGGTGGACAAGTACGGATTCACAGGTGGAGCCCAGCAGTATCGAGGACTCCAGTAAGTCTGAACACAAAGCCATTGTTCTGTTTTGTGAATGGTAAAAGGTGGATAGGCAGGTTAATTGTACCTTGCAGGCACAATAGATACACTTAATCTAATGAGATTTAATACAATAACTGCATTAAAATATTCACTCACAGAGACAGTACTGCAGTTTTCAATGACTGCATGTCATTGAAATATGTCAAGGTGAGATTTTTTTTTTTTTTTTTTTTTTTTTTTTAGTGGCACTATAGTGAAGTAAAACATTATTAGTGAAAGGGAACTAGGGCAAAAGTTCTCCCGCAGCATCCTGTTTTCAGGAAACTTAGCTGCTGATCATGACATATTGCTCTGGCGTTTCATCCCTGGAACCATTTCCTGTATGAAAGAATAAAGACGAGATCAGTCAAATCCCATGTCACAGCCTTCCCCATTTATATGTGCCAGAATACTGTTAGAACTGGTGAGAAAGTAGCTCATTATAATTTTAGTTTTACTTCACAGTGCAGAAGAAATCCCCACGGAGGTGCTGAGGCAGCGGGAGGCCAAATGGCTGGAGATGCTCAACAGCTGGGACAAGTGGATGGCTAAAAAGCACAAGAAGGTCTTTGCTTGCCTGGGATTTGCTTTGTTTCCCCTGATACCAAACAAAACCTTTTTTTTCCCTCAAGCAACAACTTGCAACTTCCATGCTTTCAACACTTAATATGAATAGAAGTGCTTCTTGGGGAATACGCCCCCTTTTTCAACACCATGTAAACGTTTAACCCGTTCAAAATAGCCGTCAACCCCCACAGGTGAAAGCGCGCTGTCAGAAAGGGATCCCGCCATCGTTGCGTGGTCGCGCCTGGCTCTACCTCACGGGAGGAAAAGTGAAGGAGGAGCAAAACCGGGGCAAGTTCCAGGTCAGCTTAACATTTCTTGTTTTGTGCAACTGGAATTTGGAGTGCTTTGAATGTTAATTCCACAGGTCTAACAATGCATTTCACTCGGGATGCCCAAAAATGTGTATATTAGCAATGAAAAGGTCCAATTTTCTATAACATATTCCCTTTAGTGTTTTGACCCATTTTTTAAAAATGCGTAACGTTACAAAATTGTATGTTTAGGAACTGGACAGCCAACCCGGAGATCCCAAATGGGTCGATGTCATAGAGCGAGACCTCCACCGACAGTTTCCCTTCCACGAAATGTTTTCAGCCAGGGGGGGACACGGGTAAGCGCCGTCCGGCTGTCTGTCTCCATAATTCAACAGACCAACCAAAAATTCAACAGATGCTAATAAACTTTGAATATGCGCTTGACATGAAAAATGGGGCGGTGAAAAAATATTTGACAATGACATTTCCTTCACAGGATGAATAAAACATCAATTTATCGAACTATCCGTTCTTCCGCATACGCAGGCAGCAAGACTTGTTCCGCGTGCTGAAGGCGTACACGCTGCACCGTCCCGAGGAGGGCTACTGTCAGGCTCAGGCTCCCATCGCCGCCGTGCTCCTCATGCACATGCCTGCGGAGGTAAAAAAAAGACTCAAATCGGCCTGCCGATGAAATCTGCCATTTTGTAACATCTCCCAAAAAATGGCCGATGCTTTTGATTTGTTTTTTTTCCCTTCATGTACTGTAATCATTTACAGCAGTTAAAACACAAGTAACATTGGTCTCGTTGTTGACAATGTTGAAATCAACGCTCTAACCTGATATCCTAACACAGAGTGGCTTAAAAGCGTTGACATTTGAGGCTGGCTTGACAAAAACATATTTTGAAAGTTGTTGTTGTTTCCTAGGACGCGTTCTGGGTCCTTGTCCAGATTTGTGAGAAGTACCTTCCTGGATACTACAGTTCAGGGCTGGTAAGATGCACACTCCCCCTGTATTTTTTTTAACAAGAGGCATCGACACCACTGTCAAAGGGTTACACGTTGACAGTGTTCACCTGATCATTTCTCCTTGATATTTTTCTTTTATCTTTAAAGTCTAGACGTAATTCACGGTGGCGTTCCCAGCATTTCCCACTCTCTGCCGTGTCTGTCCCTTGAAGGGACACTGATACGCCCACCGCCGAATATAGCGTGATGAGATAAAGAGATTAAGGAAAAGAACGAAATGAGTTGCTCCTCTCTTTGTAGCCGTCCACTTAAAGGGGAAGTCAACTCAAATGAAAGAAGCATCTCATGGGGTGGCCGTTTTGTTGTTGATTGAAAATGACGTTACCGGTACAATTGCTCGTGTGACGACCAGTTGCACCTCAGCTTTGCGAATGTCACAGCACCAAACTGCAAAAAACAGGTGAGCCACGATTGGCCGCTACCTGAGCAACTGTGATGTCATTTTCCGTTGACAGCAAGTGGCAAAATGGCCTCCCCTTGAGATGAGATGGATAAAAGCGGATGGATTTTGCGGCTTCATCCATATCCCACAAACACAACCTTAATCGGAGCGCTATGTTTAGACTAGTGGGGCCACAAAGAACTTTTTAATTTTTAATTTTTTGGTCTCGACTCCCACGTCAATGTTTCAACGTCGTCCCCCCGCAGGAGGCCATCCAGCTGGACGGAGAGATCCTGTACGCTCTGCTGCGGCGGGTGTCTCCCGTGGCGCACCGTCACCTCAAGCAACACAAGCTGGAGCCCATCTTGTACATGACCGAGTGGTTCATGTGCGCTTTCTCCCGCACGCTGCCCTGGGCTTCCGTGCTTCGCGTGTGGGACATGTTCCTTTGCGAGGGTGCGACACATCGACCTAGATTGAACCGAGACACATAGTGATGCCCTTTCCCCAGCCGTATCATCTTCTTTCCGAGTAATTGGTTCCTCTTTCCTCTCAGGAGTGAAGATCCTGTTCCGCGTGGGCCTGGTCCTGCTCAAATGCATGCTGGGATCTCAAGAGAAGGTGAGGGCCTGCCCGGGTCTTTACGAAACGATGGAGCGGCTCCGGGCCATACCGCCACAATACATGCAGGAGCGTTTCCTGGTGCAAGAGGTGAGCATCATTCTGTCTCGTGGCCCCCCACGATAGTATATCATTATTTTCTCATTAAACGGTGCCATCATAATCAAATGTATACACTGTCATACAGACCATAGAGCTGTCCGTATCGGAGAAAGACATCGAGAAAGAGCACCTGGCGCAGCTGCGGCGCTGGAAAGACACCCACGGCGACCTCCACTACAGATCCCCTCCCAGGATGCACGGCGCAAAGGCCGTCATGGCCGCCGAGCCGCCGGACCGACAGGATTTGAGGCAGCGGCCCACTATCGTCGTGGAGTCTCCCTCGGAGGTCGACGGCGCCAGGGACACTCGCAAGGCCAAAAGAGAGAAGCGGAAGAAGAGCGCTCTGCCGCCGCAGGCGACGGATAACACGCCGCCGTCTCTCGAGGTACCATCGCCTCTCCTGCAGCCAGTGAGTACGCACGCGTCCAGAGAGAGCGTGAGCAGTGCCGAGCACGACACGTATTTGTAGCACGGCGCCAGTCATTCCATAGCAGAGATGATCGAGATTTCATTGAAATGGGTGATTCTTAAAATGCGGAGAATTTCAAAACACTTGACATATTTGTAGAACACCTTTCAGTCATTTGGGAAAGTCAAGAGTGTGGGACATCGGCGGAAAGCCGCATGAGCATTTATTCAATCTCCTTGATGTCCAATTGAAGGTCCAGATTACTAGTATGTGGTTTTTCCTCACTATTAGGTGTGTCAGTCTAGCGCTCTAGTAGAATGACTTTGCAGTAACGTTTTTCCACTCCTGCCTTCGCCGACCCCGTGACATTTCTCAAGTGCAGGGCAAGTTGTTGACGAGTAGAATTTTATCATTATCGTCGACAATCATTTACAGTACGAGTCACGGACAGGTCCGCACGGTTTTGCTTCGCTAATAAAATGCGTCGTTGGATAGTGTGCCGAAAGCTGTCGGAGTCGTGAGGACACAATGGCTGAGCTGGTACATGGACCTGAAGTTGGTTGTCCCGGATACTGAATGAATTTTCAAATGGCTTTATGAAAGACGCTGGAGCATTTATTTATGGTCGTACTAGCAGTGGAAAAGAACGTTCGTATGAAGACAAGTCATTCCTCCAGTGTGATGTCTTACTCATGAGGACCTTAAACTGAATCGAATACGAATGTGTAATCTCCCAAATGAACTGAAGGTGGCGATGATGAATTGCTTGCACTTTTTATGAGTTGTTTTATTTTTTTTTTTTCCCCCTGTGAGGTTTGATAAGTCAGTGAGAGGCTGGAGCAGCTCTTTGGTGTGCATGATTTAACATGCTATCTGACTTGAATTAGCTCGTGCTGTTATTTAATGCAAAGGGGCGATTTGATCGTGTCCGAGCAGAAAAAAATAGAATTACTCACCAGCCACAATATTAGGTGCATCATCTAATAAGATCCACTATACTAGTTTTTTTTTGAAGAAATAATGACCTTTATATAAAGGCAATAATGCCAATTTTGTATGCTGGTGCGGTTGATCATGAGATTGTGCATTTGTACCTAATGTTGTGTCTAGTTGTCGGCCATGTTACGTGACGCGACATTGCCAGCAAATCTTATTTTTCCGACTTTGACAGCCTCGGTGTCAGTCCCCGAACAACTGTTGTTGTACCTTTTATGAGCGCAAAACACCTTCACACTACTTTGACTCCACCTCCTTTAATGAAGGAAAACTGTTCAAGGACATTGTTGTGCCACGAAGCCAAAGATTTTTACGTTGGGTGTGTTGTATCCGTCAGACCGGGAGTGCAGGAGTGTTTATTCATGTTGGGAATGAAATGAGCGGGAATGCAAAATCAGTGTTGCTGGGCAGAAAGACTTTGCTGATTATTACTGGGAGGGGGGGGTGCAGGGGGGGCGTAATAAATAAATAAACACTCCACCAAGCAGCCGCATCGGGAGGTTGTTGTTGTCGGTGTCACGCAACAGTTTACAGCCCCCTTTTCTGAGCCAGATATAAAATGATGTGTATTTTTGTGGAATTGTAACTCTAATGCAGTCCAATGAATGTACAACTTTATTTTTTTCAACAATGGCATGTATGCTCAAACTCTATTTTTTTTTTTTTGCCCCTTTTAGGGGGAAGAGCAGTAATTACAATCAGAGGTGAAACATTTGATGATCGCCACGATATGAGAAATGTATTTAAAAAAGCGTCATGCGGTTTTTATTTTTTGTCTGCAGTCAACTTTATAAAAGGGATACCGTGGTGGATATGACATTTCCAATGTGTCGTCTGTGTTTCTCTTAGTCATTATTGAGTATGTTAGAATTCATCCATCCGCATTTTTTTACAGCACTTGTCCTCATTGGAGCCGAGGGTGAAATTCAACTGATGGCGAACCACTTGCAAGGCACACAGACAAACGAACATAAGATAAGATAAGACAAGAAAACCTTGATTTTGTCTCACAATGGAGAACTTCCCAATTCACAGCAACCAAATTATGAAAGGGAGAAAGTAGAAGAACAAAAAGTATACGAGTCCAGAACATTCACGAGCAGTCGCGCTTCTGGACAATTGAGAGTCGTCAGCGAACACACCAATCGTGTTTTTGAAATTTGAGAGGAAGCCGCAACCTGCACGCGGGAAGGAGGCTTGTGCCACGATTCCTAAACCTGACCCTCAGAACTGCGAGGCAGACATGCCAGCCACTACGCTTTAACAATGCCGCCCCATTTTTTGAATTCAGCTGGAAAGCATTGGATTGTCTATAGATGGCGCTACTTAGCTGCTACTGAACAAGACAACTGACTCATGAATAAGGCTTACAAACTTGCATAATACCATCATGGGCCACTTGGATCAAGCTGCGGCTTTGTAACTAGTGTACAAACGGTGTCATGTCCATCCATGCACGTTTTTTTGTTTTTGTTTGTTTTTTGTCGAGTGATTTGATTGTGCAGACTGTCCACTGTCCCTACACAATGACTCCCATTGAATCCTGAATCAAGACAATAAAACGAGAGAAAAATGGCACTCGCAAATGAGTTCAAGAAATACAGAACCCCCCTGTGTTGGTTCACATTCACCCCGCTGCCTTCCCGCACCCTCGCAGCAGCAGCACACGTCCTCGGACACCTGTTTCTCCGGCTCTTTCAGCTCGCACAGGAATTAGCATCTCAAATGGGAGGGGGGGGGGAATTCCCACAGTGCCATTCATTGCGCCTCACTTTGCGCCGTTTAACGTCACGTTTACATGTCCCTGAGTGACAAAGATCAGCTGCACCCCTGTCTGAAGGCCCCACGCCCGCCTTCAAATCAAACATCGATCACGCACGCAAGTTACATTATATGAACTGATCCCACGCTGCTTGTCAGCCACGTGAACCACTGCGCCATCACGGAAAGATTTGCCGTCGTGAATAGCAAACAGGTTGAACATTGACGATCATTGCTCAGGATCATCTTTGGCATTTTGACAATCGGGCCTTTGCTAACTTCTCGGCACGCTAGCCATCTCCATGTGCGGCGGCATTCGTCATCAAAGGGTGAGTGTTTCTAACTTCTTTTTACACTTGTGCCATCTTATAGTGTAATATAGGTCAACGCATGAACTAAGTGACTCACCTTCAGCAATCCTTCCTCTTTCTACAGGCTACTACGTGTCATCAAACGGTGAGTATACCATTTAGTGGTTTGAAAAATGGACGGGTTAATTTGGATAGTAGTGATACTTTTTGTAAAAAAAAAAAAAAAAAAAAATGCACAGGGAATATTTGAAGAAAAATGTTTAAGGTTTTAGAGTGGTGACAGTTTGACCCTGGCCCGATAACCACCAAGCCGAGGAATTGCGGTCATAGCGTAAATACTGTAGCGAAAGCAAAGCTGTTTACCAGCATCATTGGAATCAACAACGTTAGCATTTGGGTTTGAGGTCATCATTTGCTCAAGATCGCCAAAACAGACATATGAGTCCTAAATTTGCTTGGGATTTCATACTATGGTATTTGTTTTCTGTTTAACATCATGTTACAACGTCGGGGTTACCTAGTTGGACGTTTGTCACCATGCTTGTAGATGTGCCAGTTTGAAATAGCACCGCATGCAATTTTTTTTTTTTTTTAATTTACAGTTTCTCATATTTTAACAATCTAATTAAACTTCATAACAACCCCAATAATTCATGTTTTTTGTTTTTTAGCTCAGGGTGGACGGCCAATATTGGGAGAAGCGGTGACCATATGTGTGAAGTGTCTGGGAGATTAAAGTCTGCGCGTGGTGAGCTGTAAAGCTTGTCTCAAGCTTTTTGGTAACAAAGTTGTACTGTTTATCCCCTCGGTGCCCTCTCTCTGCCCTCCACCCAAAAGTGGATTAGAGCCATGTTGAATTGTAAGCTTGGTCTTTTTTTTTTTTTTTTTTTTTTTTTTTTCTAGCTGCCAGTTTCGGCTGTCCCTTCACCTGAGCTGTCACTCCTTCCCTGTGACATGTCTAAAAAAAAAAAAAAAAAAAAACACAGCTGACCGTGTTGGGAATCCTTCAAAATAAGACTCCCCGACCCGGTCAAAGCTGCAAACCAGGTTAGAATAATTTGTATTGGTCTTTTTTTTTTTTTCTTTTGAACAGGGGTGTGTCGCCGTTTTATGTCCACGGTACACAGTGGTTAACTCGTCTTGACAAGTGTACATAAATTATGAATGTGATTTAATGTTTTACGATGGCTATGGATTGAGCCTGCAATGGAGAGTCGCGCTCTTACGCCGCGCGTTTCCTTATAGTACTTTTCCATGTTTGGTCAGAAAACACAAATTGAAGGGGAGAGTTAGTTGCACGTGTGGGACAGGAAGTGGAGTGGCAGCGAAGGTCAGCGGTGCCACAGATGCTCTTTCAATGCGCGCCGATCAGGAAGCGCGTGTGTCCTTTAATGGTTTTCCTCAGGATAACGGTAGCCGGCCGTGCGTATCGTGAACGTCAGCTTTCTTTCTTTTATGAAGATTTGTGGTAGGATATGAAACGTCATTGCCAGGATCTCCCTCCTTTTATATGAATGATTGCTTTTTTTTTTTTTTTTTTCTGCTTGGCACAGTCCGCAAAGTTATTGTTCTTGTTGAGGCTCCTTGAAATGGTCATCAGCATGAGGAAAGCATGCGTGCCACGTTCGTGGCCCATCGCAAAGTTGTAAAAAGTGTGATGATGCCATTCATTTCTGTTGGGGCTGCATGTTGGCCTTTTGAGCACTTAAGCTATTGCACTTAATCTTGCGCTGATCTGAAGCCACTTCCTGCAATTGTTGGGTCACATCCCCACTGTCTCCTCTCTTCCCGTCCATCCAATCCCCTCCCTCCCATTTGTGATGAGGAAATGGGGGACTTGGAGAGGATACGGAGAGGGCCGAATTCACCTCAGGGTAAAAATGGATCCGGCGGATAGCGTCTAATCCGCAAAGCACGCGCACATAGTTCAAAATTTGACTGACTGAGATGCCAAGCAGAGGGAGCAAATCACGTCGACGGAAAGCTGGTGTAAAATTGGCGCCACTCGGCCCAAGCCTCTTTTGAGCGAGTGGGGGGACGCGGCGAGATCTACAAGACTTTGCCTCCGAAATTCCGTTCACACTTTGCGATGTGCGTAATCGGAGGGCCATAACAGGTGCAAACTGCACTAAGCTGTCAAACTTCGTAGGCAATGTGTGCGCCGCTATGTCAGTAGCGCAATATCCTCTGTGAATAGACGGAGCGAACTGCGGGCGCAAATGAAGAGCGAATTAAGTGCGCTGTCGGTGGCCCCACTTCATTCTTTCTGGATTCAGCCCAGAGAGGAATGGGGAGGGGGGGGGGCGCTAAAAAATAAAAACAAAAAAGGCAAAAGTCCTGTTGCAGTCCTGATAAACACCGATCCTGAAGTGGGTGTGGCAGTCTGCCTTGTGGCCTGATAAAGATAACGGTGCCATTAGGCAACCAAAATAAGAAATGTCGGCTTTTTGCAGTTAGCTTTAACCATTTATCAACCAGGCAATTGTCCGAGGGGGGGTGGTGGGGAATGCGTTTGTCATTCAAATTCCAATCGTGTATTTTCCCAGATAAAATAAAGTGAGTTTATGAACTGAAATGTATTCATTGCGTATTAAAACTACACGATCACATATTTTATTTTATCAGATAAATACAATAAAACAGAATTTTATCGATTGAAAACATGACAGTGGCCCCCAACCACCAAAAATAAATTATAATAATAAAATGACAAAGTTTTGCATCATATAGTAAACTAGTTTGACACTTTTTTTTGTGTGTGCCAAAAGCAAGGGATGTACGTGTCATCGCAGGCTGACTTCATGGCCTTCTAATTGAAACTAATGACAAAAGCACATGCAAAGTCAAGCCCTCTGGGTTTGAGGTTACAATAGCTTATTGTGTTTCAGACGGCGTTACACACTTTGTGTGTGGGTGTTGCGTTGTGTTTGTGTTGGATGCAGGGCTGCGTTTGAGTGCACGTGCGTTCCCATGTGTGAGCCTTGAAACCAAACTCCCTTCGAGTTTTAAGATTAGACGTCCGCCAAGGTCCATAAAACGGTTTATGTTACGTATGGAGTCGCAAACTCGAAAGCTTCCTAAATCCTGGAGAGCATTTAAAAATAATTCACACGTTTTTTTTTTTTGGAGGGGGGGGGGTTATTTGTCACACTTTCCCACAGGGATAATGTCATGGCTTGCAGAAGGTACCGTATATACTGCATAAGTTATTTTTTCTTTTTTTTAATTTGGTGCACAGAATCCTACTTGCACTGCACTAAGTCTCTAGGGAATAAAATACAGTGGAAGCTCCCCAACGTATTCAACTTCCTAAACTACCTTTTCCCATGTGAAATACAGTATCTCGACTTTGACTGAGCTCGGATTGCTGCTAGTTAGCTAAAGTTGAAAAATACTTTTGGTTTTGTCTGTTTCGCATTCATGTCTCTTTTTTCTGCAGGTTGTACGTGATTCTTCTTCGCTTCGGCTCCCCGTTTTGTTTTTTGTTTTTTTTTGTTTGGGACAGGAAGTGAGCGCTAACCGCAAACACCGACCCAACACTTCACCTGTGTAAACAAGCTCAATGGATACATGTTGCTTCTGAATGCAACTTTTGTCACGTAAGTTCACGTCAGACCTATTTATAAGTTTTTGCATGAGCACTTATCGGGAGCTTCCATCCCCTCTTACTTATATCGGATAAACATTTCATCTGGGCTACTTCTGGTTTAGGAGACAACAAGTGGAAAAGCAGGAAGGTTGCTATCAACACAGTCTCCCGGCCAACCGCCAAACAGAAGCTGGACCACCATGACTACCCCCCCAAACCAGTAAGGTGAGCAGCTCATCAGGAAAAGCTGCCACGGCTCAGCTGTGGATGTCTCCTCCGGGTTACGTGGTTCAGAAGGTCAGACAAACACCCCATGCAACATGTGCTTGACGACCTCGAAGGAAGTCCACAGTGAAGACATTGTTCCATTGTAGACAATAGTAGGTGAATCGGAGTTCGACTTGGGTCATCAAAATTCAATACCTACTGTGTCAATTTCAGACAATGGATTCGGCTTTTAATTTATATCTTTTTAGTTTTGGTTTTAAGTCTTAAGGCACCAAGAGTGTTTTTTTTTTCAATTAATCAAGCATACTTTTCCCGGATTTCGGTATACATGAATCCCTCGTCACTTCGCACTTCATCGTTTGTGAGTTGAGTGCTTCGCGGGTTTTTCCAAAATACAATATTCCAAACCATTTTCTGAACCGCTTTATCCTCACAAGAGCTGATGGGCTGCGCATCATCTCGGCCTCACCCAGCACCTTCCCGTGTTATGCTTTGCGCTCTTATTGAGTTATTGAGAGAGTGATTGATTAGTTTTGCTCGCACTTAAGGTAGACGTACTGCAGCCATGCGTTTGTCTTTGAAACTGAGGGCAAATTTATTGGACCTACCAAAAGGAGTGGACATCTCCTACCGGTGAGGCTTTTGTGTCTTAACAAGCTTGTGTCAACTACCTGATTTTTTTGGGGGGGGCAGTTAAACAGCCAAAATGTCTGGCAGTACTAAATTACTAGTGCTTGACGTGTCGGTTTTGGCAGCATTCATGTAGTTAGGTGCCTGATGAAAGCAAGTATTTGTCACTCTGCACTCAGTCTGCTTTTGCACTTCTAAGCTAGCAACTGAAACACTGAACTCCCGTAGAATTAATTGAAATGTCGGAAAATGTCAAGCGCAAGACTGAGAAAAGCCGAATTATAATAATAACACAATGCCAATTGTGGCACTACTTCTAATGGGAAATAAAGATGCTAGCATACCAGCAGTTGGAATTCTAACAGCTAATGCTAATATCCAGATAGCAATCAGAGTTAAAAAAAAAAAAAATCACGAAGGCCAATTGACAAGGCTTATGAACCCATCACCTCCTTGACCATTTGTCCAAATATGCATGTCTGCCACTGCATTTTAAAACGGCACCAATTCGACTTGTCAACGGCTTAACGCGCACATCAAACAACTGCTACAATCGCCAACCTACCTCCCAGCGCACACCCCCCTCACTGTTTAGGCGTCACAAGTATCACCAAAAAAGTGGCCCTCCAACACGCAAGGTCCGGATCAAACATCAAAGGTATTCGCTCGGACGCAGGCAAACTCGCACAGCGGGGTGTGTTTTTGCCTCTCATCTCCTTCTGCTGTCTTTTCTTAACTTGTTGCCCATAATGTAGATGATGGACACGGTTGAAAGGTGGAAAGAAGTCCTCAGTGTGGCCTGACTGGCAAACATAGTGTGTGGTTTACAGCGCAAGGCCACACAGGAGGACAGCAGCACGAAAAAAAACTATTAGTGGGCACAGGTGGACAAGTAAGTCAAAATAACATATCAAGTGGGGACAAATAGGACTGTAGTTTTTTTTTTCAATTATCATGACAAATTATGGTTTGTTAGTCGGCAAGCTAATTCCTGGTTCACAAAAGCTGACGCAAGACAAATGGGACATGATTTCAGATCATTTTATGAGCAAGCAGGACAATTCCTCGACCGTTCCATTCTTGATTGTGGGGCAGGGAGAGCAATTTTGTCATGACTCAACAACAATCGCAAAAGAAATTTCTCTTTAAGTTCTCCATTGTAACCAAACAAGTGCATCAATTCATCTATAAAAAAGTTTTTTATAAAGAAATGAACACCATATTTGTTAGTGTTTGTTCATCCGTTAGCTAGCAAGCTACTATTTTTACGTCATGGAGGATGCTAAATGGACCGTAGCTTTTTTGATTCTGCAGCATATGGGATCTTTTTTGACATGACTCAAGTGGCAAAAATAACAAATTCCTCTCTCAAGATTTAAAAAAGAAAGGAGTGCTATCTTTATGTTTTTGTACTTCCATTTGTTAGTTAGCATGCTAGTTCGCATGTTGCAAATAGACACGCGGAATACTTCATTTTTTATTGTAGAGTGGAGATCGATAGTAGAGCTGGATGAAATTATTTAATTTGGTATGTTAATCAAATATGGGTTGAAAAATTGATATGGTATACAGTACAAGTATTTGTAATGAGTTACAAGCTTGATTATCGACTGTATTAATCTCGTCAATCTATAGTTACCAAATTTGGAATTCTGTTTCATCCTGCTAACAAACAACAAAACACGACCTACCTAAATAATGTTCTTCTTTTCCTCCTGTTGACATCCCTGCCCAACTCTTGGCTAAAAATAGCATGCGGTGCCACCAAAGGACAGATGGGAAGTTCTTTTTGATTTATTTAAGTTTTTTCCTGCTTTTGCCAGAATGGACAAACAATCAGGATAGGACACCAGTTGGGTGGGGTTTGATATACACAATTAAAGGCATAAAGTTAATACCTCAAGTGTGCGTCACAATTTAAAAATATATATTGAATTTTATTTTTTATTTTATTTTTTTTAGCTCCCGGGAGAGCGAAAGGCGGTAAAGGCAACGGAGATGAGAGCAAAGGCCTCATAATGAGAGGAAGGTGAGCGCAGTGGGGAAGGACAAGTGGCTGTGCAGAGGAGGGGAAGGGATCAGCGCTGAGGGTTGGACATTGTTGAGTGATACAGTAGTTGTGTCTAAAAGTCACCGGGTCGGCGCCACTGCTGCTCACCCCAGTCAGTTGTGGACTGAGAGGGCCCATCTGGGACAGCACAACAGACATGGATACAGAAAGGGGGGGGGGGGGATTGCCACGTCTCGGAAAATGGGGACGAAAAGGACAACAGATTGAAGATGACCTTTTTATCTTATTGCAGATTTCAGCGTTTTAATTTTCATTCTCCTCGAGGAGCCCATCACGTGATTTAATTAGCGTTAATGTGTCGTTATTGTGATTAATTGAAGGTCTGGTTGACTTGCCACCATGTTGGTTCGGGGCCGTGCACGTTGGAGCATGTCCACAAGCTGTCGTAAGATTGAAAAAAAAAAAAAAAAAAGAAGAAGCCACAGTATTTTGGCCTTGAGCTGCAGAGTGCTCAGGTACCCGAACGACTCTTCGATTGATATTGAAATCAATGGTGGAACTTGTCATGCCTGGGCATGACTTGCGGCTGACTGTCTAAACATGTCCACACGTCTACTTTCGTTGGCTCGAGGCAAAATAACACAAAATCTTTTCAACACCAGCTTTCACTTTAACGTTAACATAAATCCTTTGTTCATCCCCGTTGTGCAAGAGAGAGATTTTTTTTTTTTTTGTGCTGACACCATCCAAATAATCCTGCACTCAAACATTTATTGTAAAAATTACTCTTATCCTTTCATTTAAATATATATCGTTTTAATTTATACTGATTTAAATTCCTAAAAAAAATTATAATACACATTTTTTTATTATTCATTTTGCTGCATTACAGCATGTGAAGCGCGATTTATATATTTTTAAACCTCATGATCTGTGAACTGTAATATAGTAATCATTACCAATACCAATCATTCATTCTAATCAGTTATTTTTGCAATTAGCCAATGGATCAGCTATATATTTCATGTCCCCATTCCTTTATTTTAAAACAGCATTATTTTCAACTTTACAGTGCAGAAAACGTACAAACAAACTCATGACGCAGTTTCTGTTTTTGTCCGTAGCGTGTCGGAAAATGTGCCAATGTGTTGATCCGCGTTTTACAAAATGGAAGCAGATTGCATCTCTTAAAATTGTGTATAGAAAATCAGATGACTCCAAAAAATATACATCAAGAAATAATCCGAATGAAATTATGAGATTTGTAAAATCCCGGGTTGTATAATTTATAACAAGCTATAAGGTTAGTTTCTTTTCTCTAGTTGTCTCGATTTTGAGAGACATCGTAGATGCGATGATGTCCTGCCATTTGCCATGTTTCAGTGAGTTACAAATGAGCGGGCGTGTTTGTTTTCACTGAGAGTGGGAAGTCGTGTTGTGCCGGGAGGATGGGGAAGGGAGGGTGTGCGTGCTGGGTGGGTTTACGCTTTGCAGGGGTAGTGGGGGGCGGGCGGTTGGTTGCGCCGTATATAAGAGCGGGCAGATCACGCAGGCAGCAAGTCACACTCCCACCAGTCGAAAGCCATGGAGCCCACCGCCAACCCGTACGACGACTACGACTACGAATACGAGGAGTTGGAGAACTCCACCATGTGCGACTACTCGGAGTGGACGCCGTCCTACTCGGTCATCCCCGTGCTCTACATGCTCATCTTCATCCTGGGCCTGTCGGGCAACGGCGTGGTCATCTTCACGGTGTGGCGGGCGCAAGGGAAGCGGCGCGCGGCCGACGTCTACATCGGCAACCTGGCCCTGGCCGACCTGACCTTTGTGGTGACGCTCCCCCTCTGGGCGGTGTACACGGCCATGGGCTACCACTGGCCGTTCGGGGTGGCCCTGTGCAAGATCAGCAGCTACGTGGTGCTCCTCAACATGTACGCCAGCGTCTTCCTCCTCACCTGCATGAGCTTCGACCGCTACCTGGCCATCGTGCACTCGCTGTCCAGCAGCCAGCTGCGCACCCGCGGCCACATGCGCGCCTCCCTGGCCGCCATCTGGATGCTGTCGGGAATCCTGGCCGCACCCACCCTGGTCTTCCGCACCACCCGGCACGACCCGGGCAGCAACCGCACGTCCTGCGCCATGGACTTCGGCCTGGTGGTGAGCAACAAGCATCAGGAGAACCTGTGGATCGCCGGCCTGAGCATTTCGTCCTCCGCCCTGGGCTTCCTGCTGCCCTTCCTGGCCATGATGGTGTGCTACGGCTTCATCGGCTGCACCGTCACGCGCCACTTCAACACGCTGCGCAAGGAGGACCAGCGCAAGCGGCGGCTCCTGAAGATCATCACCACGCTGGTGGTGGTTTTCGCCGCCTGCTGGATCCCCTTCCACGTGGTGAAAAGCGCGGACGCCCTCTCCTACCTGGACCTGTTCCCAGCCACCTGCGCCTTCCTGCGCTTCCTCCTGCTGGCCCACCCGTACGCCACCTGCCTGGCGTACGTCAACAGCTGCCTCAACCCATTTCTCTATGCCTTCTTCGACCTGCGTTTCAGGTCGCAGTGCCTCTGCCTGCTCCACCTCAAGAAGTCCCTGCACGCCAGCCCCGCCGGCTCCTTGTCCTCCCAGAAGACGGAGGCACAGTCTCTGGCCACCAAGGTCTAGCGCGCCTGGAGGACTCCGTCACTGCTCGGTGCTTATTTACGGGTTCCCGACCCTTTGTGGGACTACTGACTTGAAGAACTTTTAAGGGACCAATTGTGAAGTAGACGTGTGGAATGTATCTCCAAAAAGCTTCTCTTTTTTTCTTTTTTTTTTTTTTCGTGGTCTTGGACTCAAGTCCCTACAACCGAAGAATGAAAAGTCACACTTTTGTTCTTATTCTTTCAGAGTACTCACACAGATACTTGTGTAACAAAAAAAAAAACAAACTCTGACAGACTTTGAAATGTAAAAAGATGAATTCTGACATTTTTAGCCGTGACATTTGGATAACATCAAGGGGGAAAAAAAAGCTTCTGTCATCCGAACTTGTTTCCCTCTTTCGTGATCAGGTCGCGTGGTGTTAGCTAGCTAGCGTTTTATGCTATCAAAACAAAGTGCTCCCATTGCCTTGCTAATGAAGAGACTAACAAAAAAATTGTCAAACATGACGTCTTACTCGTATGTTTTTTCAGATTTGACACATCGCATTCGGCCTTGATGATTCTTGCATCTGACAACAAGCAATTCTCTTAAACAAGGCCATGGATGGGGAATAGCTTGCTTCTCCAAACAAGTCGCTGTCATTAATGCTCCCTGGTTCCACCATGTTGCCGCATTCCTTTTTTCCACCAGTCAAGATCTCAACTACAGTTGACGTAACCTCTCTTCATTTACAATTTTTTTTTTTAACATCGTTTTGTCATTCCCTGTGGCTGAAAAAAACTATTTTTGACTCAGTAAGGAGTACAAAGAATTATAGTACATGTAAAAAGCCCTTGGGAGAAGTAGGGATACTTAAAAGTACAGTAACCTAGTATTTGTATACATCTGTATACTTCAATCCTGCGCAACACTGCATTTCTTATTCGTTAAGTACTTGAGGTGGGACAAACCGGCAAGACGTCAGTGTCTGTGGCATTTCCAGCCTGTGGTGTGTTACTACAGTCGTGTGTACGTGTGTTTGTGTGTGTGTCGCTATGAGGTGTCAGGCGCTGATAAGCATGGTAAGGAGAGACGGGAGGTCTTGAGATGCAAGGAGGGGGTCTAGACAGACGGACAGATGGCAGCTGACAAATGTTTTCAGACTCCCTGGGCTCTGAGCCCAATTAAAAGGTGACTCGTAGTGACAGGCAGTGTGGGGGTGTGTGTGTGTGTGTGGGGGGGGGGTGTGTTGTCAGACACAATGCGTTTGTTCCTGACGAAAACATGAATTTGTGAATATTTTTTTTTTTTACATTTGTGATTCTTGTCTATGAGTTGTAATAATAAAAAAAAAAAATGAACGAAGATCCTCTATTGTGTTGCGTCTCACTCCTCTCGCTTTCTTTTTTTGCTGGAATGTATTTTCTCCCCTCGGGTGAATGTTTGCTTCTTCCTGAGGACGCGTTTGTGAGGGGAGGCGGCGGCCCTTCCATTGTGTCGTGCGCTGGAGTTCCAAATCAAAGTATATGTCGACAGGAAATGCATGTTGGACTTTAGTTTCCTCCTGGTTTCTGCTCCTCTTGCGTGAACAATCAATTGTGGCTCATGTCCGAGATCATTTTCAATCATCCCACATCAATTTAACGAACAATGACTAAAACGTGTAAAGGACAGTTTTTGGTGATCTCAGTGGGAATGTTAATGAATGTGGACGGTATTGAGCTTCTTAGAGGCATAATCGGGGAGACAGAAGGAGCGGCCTAATCCAGGTGGACTGGTTTTCATGGGGAGGGGACTCTGTCTGTCTGATTAGGCATCTAATAGTGAGATACTGTACGTTGGAATCAATTGAAATCACTTGTCTATCCATCGTCAAGAGTTCAATGAACAGACAAACTTCTCAGTAATCTTTGTACATCGAGAACAAGATGAACACATTCCCCAGTGGACTCATCAGCTTTTATTGGCAAGGCCGTTTCAGCTCCATTTCACTTGAGACGCCGCGCTAAAGTATCCCTGGCTTTTCGGCATCAAAGCCGTATCCTGCTGCGTAACATAACCTGCAAAGATTATTTTCACTGAGGATTTTTATGATGCTTGTGTGCTCACGTTACGTTAAGACTAAAAAACTTTTCATGGCGCGTGGACACTGTAGAGTTGCCATTTGGGCACTTTGATACACTTTTACTGCAGACCACCGTTCAAAAATATGTTTTGGGTTTTTTTTTTGTGCAAATGTTTTCATTCCTCTGTGAAAACAAGCACTGGAAAAATAAGTCCTGGAGAGCAGAAAAATCGCGTTGAGAAGCTAAAACCTTTGCTCCGCTCCTCCATGAGAGATCCTTGAATTTGCGCTGTGTTTATAATGTTGACTGAATATAATGTTGACACAATTTTAAGATTTCGCGTTCGACTTGGGACCAGTGCGCGGGCTCCCGGTCGATCGCGATCGACTGGTTGAGCACCACTGCACTAGCATTGGGTCCAGCGCGCGGGCTCCGGTTGATCGCGATCGACTGGTTGAGCACCACTGCACTAGCGGTACATGGCTCCCTCTTGTGGTAGACGAAAGAATAACTGCCTTAGAATTGTTTTTAATATATTTAATTTTAAAGTTTTGAGGTGCATTTTTTAAAATGCATATTTATTTACATTTATTCATACATGTCAACTGAAGAAAAAAGTAGTTTTCGAGTTAAGCCCAATGTTAATGTTCAAACTGTGCATGATGTTTCTTGGGTTTTCGCTATTGACAATAAAACTCATGTTTTTGATGACGATGACACGACTGCATTTTAATGTTGGTCATAATGGTGGTGCTGTCTTGAGAAAATGAAAATTATTAATTTAAATGGTCGCCTACTTGGTATAAAAGGTTTAAGAACCATTGGTTTAGGTCGTACATTTGGTTGATTGGCGTGCCAGTCCCTATGCAGTATGTACATGTGCATTTTTTTTTTTAAATGATCCGAAATAAATCAATTACAGCACATTATTTTGTGGACCACCAAGTTAGGTTGGTGTTCACCAGGTGTCCAGGGACCCCAGTTTGAGAGCCAGCGCCCAAACCAAAGGGGGGTAGGGAGTGGGGGGTAATTTGCTTATCAATGGGTGGCCTTACGATTGTTTACTTTCTAGTCAGGCCTGCTGTGCGTGGCGAGCGCGTGTCCCTGCTCCTAAAGCCAATGAAGTGACTCGCGCAGAAAATAGACACAGGAAACATGCAGCATTTCTCCCCTGCTCCTTGACAATGGAGGATAAGCCCAACCAGCCCCGAAGCCCCAGCGAGGCCTGAGGATGACATTGGTTGAGCGTCTTTGTGGCGGGAGATTGCATGAGGCAGGAAAGACAAAGGGCGGGTCAGCAAGTCAGGGTTCCTGATCAGGGATATCCTCTCTTTCAAGGCCCTTTTGCAGGCAATCTTGAAGGACGCGAGTCTTGTTTTTGCAACAAAATACGAAGCGTGAGAAAACACCTCAAGTGACTAATCAGAGGTCCCTTTCTCCCTGCTTCTCAAAGGCTCCATCGTTAACGGCGACACGTCGCTTCCGAAGCTGCGGAAGGAGACCGGCTTTTCGAGAGAGACTCCGGATCTTGGTCTTAATGCCAGTGTCTCAATAAGCACAAAGCGTCCCTTCATCCCTTCATCTCCGGCCTTCTCTTCAGATCTGAAAAGGAGGCTCTGTGACCTGTGGCATGCCCAAGATGCTGAAGAGGCTCAGCTGCACTCGCTTGGTTGGTGGCAGGTAAAGAAAGCCGTGCACAGTGATACCCAACATACAAAAGATAAGTCAGTCAGTGATTGCTGACCACCGTAGCTGCGGAAATGATCCAATTCCGTTAAATTGCTCCGAAAATGACTTTCTTTATGACAAAGTAGCTTTGTTCATCGATCTTTGCCAGTGATATATAGTGACCGGCAGAACAATTAGGGGGGGGTGATGCATACTGAGTAAGTCGTGTGGAATCTGGCACATGTTTATAAACACCGTGGAACTAATTGCATGTGGTCACCGTGTATTTCGTGCAGGCATAATGTCAGCGTATTCCCTTGAAAATGGAGAGTGGGGAAATCATTTGAATGGCATTGGAATGAGTAAATAATCGTGGTATGTTGCGTAGCATTAGATAGATAGATAGATAGATAGTGTGTGTGCTTTTATTAAATTTAAGTTGAAACAGTGCCGTATACTGGACATAAAATATATTCTTTATTATTATTATTATTATTATTATTATTATTATTATTATTATTATTTATATGCGGCACTGCAGTGAAAGAGTCAATACTGACATCTAGCGGCAAGAGCACACAGTGTCCGGAACACATGTTTGCACACTCCAGTTTGTAGCCGGAATTTAATTGAAGACGTACTGACGTCATTGGTGCAGTTCACTTCCGTTATCTCTCCCCCCCGCTATCGGAAAATCTGCGACGATCTGCCGCTGTCACAAAATGTACCGGCCGTTAATAGGGAAGTCCTGTCGTTTATTTAATCGAATAAATTGAGAACATTCGATATGTTGACAAGGGCACAGAAGCGGCTGTGGAAGTACGTCGAGGAGGGCAGCCTCTTCAAACTCAAGACATACCTGCGGAAGCACCGGGACTTAGACGTCAACTTCTCTCAGGGCAAGAGGCAGAGGAGCCCGCTGCAGCTCGCCTGTAACCTGGGGGACGACGCCGTAGTGCGGCTGCTGCTCGACCACGGAGCCGATGTGCTCCGGGCCGACAAGAAAGGAGACACGGCGCTACACGTCGCCGTCAACAGGGCTCTTAAACGCGGAAAAACTGGTGGGTTGGACACGAACTAGCATACCATGAAGTCGATGTGGATGTATTTGTTGTTATTAAACCAGCCGGACTTCAGGACAAGGGACTAAACTCAGAACAAAATAGGACAACCAATCCTAAACCTGTCCTAAATATTCCTCTCCAATGCCAACTGCCGCACATCGCTTGCTTGTTTCATAGTGGTTTGCATCTGCAGCAACTGATGCAAAGTACTTCTCATCACCGATATCGATTGTTCTTGTTCTTCCTGCAGCTTATGACGACCTGGTGGTGCCTCTCCGAAAGAGTTGCCCGGAGGCCATGGACGCCTCAAATATGGCAGGTGTGACGCCCCAGGACCTGCTGAATGGCTTCAAACACTCCGAGGTAGCGTCCAGTTTACATTTAGTCGTTTCTTCTTCGATTGTCGTGTTTTTAAGATTGCGAGATGCCCAAAAGGGAAATCCCAATAAAATTTCCATGAATTGCTCAGCTCTAATATGATGCGTTGTTGCAGTCTTCTGGACAAGGCGCAAGTGGCCCATCTCGAGCTGACACTGAGAGAGACTGGATGGAGAAGCTGTTTGGCGAATGTGAGGATGAGTTCTGCGAAACCTTTGGAGTTTATGATGGTAAAATCTATATTTGTCTGTCTGTCTCTGTCTGTCTAGCTATTGAGCTAATCACTAACATTTATTTTTTTGTTTTTATTTTTTTCTAATTTTCACATGTCCTCTTTTACAGCGGATGACTTCCTTCCTGTCGATGAAGATGAGGAGGACTACGGTGACTGGGCCGATCGCATCAGAAGAGAATATTTTTCCAAGAAGCACGCGGAAGCTCAGAGAATGGCCGCCTCGTCGTTTAGCGGGAGGAATAAGAAGAGTAAGCGAGAAGAGGAGGAGCAGAGCTACAAGGAGCTGCACGCCAGGCTGCAGAAGGAACACGAAGAGTATTTGTCTCGCGCCGCCCGCAAAGAGGAGGAAACTCGGCAGGGTAAGAAGCGGCGCTATGAGCAGATGTGCGCAGCCACGTTTCACGGCGGCGGCGCCAAGCTGCTGAGCTACGGCGACATCCCCTGGCCGGCGCCGCGCGGCACCGTTCAGGAGATGGCGGACGTCATGCTGCACGGCGTGGACCGCAAGGACACAGCTGGCTTCCGCAAGGCTCTGCGCAAGCAACAGGCACTGTGGCATCCCGACAAATTCGCTCAGAGGTGCGAAGCTCGGCTGGACGGGAAGGACAAGCAGCGCATCTTGGACACGGTGACTGCTCTGTCGCAAGAACTCAATAGACTGGCTCAAAGCCTGAAGCCATGACATAAGATTTTCTTTTATTTGGGAGTTGGGCTGGCTGTTCAATTCCAGCTCTTGCAGAATTTACAGTCATCACGACTTTCCTCTAAATATTTCTGCCATTAAAACTTGAATAATAAACATGGAATGTGTCTGAGTCTTTATTTATACAGTAGAACACAATTTATACACCATTCATATGACCCATAACCTGTGCAACAGCAATGAGAGCGAAAAAAATATTTTCGAGAGGGAAGAAAAAGTAACTGATGAGGTTTGCACAGCGTACACACCATCATAACTGGCTGTCCTCACATTGCAAAACCATGAATCTTTAATCCTGGTGTTCCATTGGCAACTTTGTACTTTAACCTTTCACGCTCGCAGTGGATTTTTATTTGGAAAATTAAAAGGAGTTCTTAAGGTAAACGTGGACAAAGGAGGTCTGACACAAAGGATGGAACCAGCAGACAGTGACGGAATGGTGAGTTGGTTGCCAGGTTTTTAAACGGACCCCGCTTTTTCCAGCAACCATAATGTGTCGAAAACGGTACAAATACTGTACCGTAAAAAACGCGTTGTTGTCATGCATTTGCGTTTAATGTTTGATTTTATCGGCTTATTGCTATTTACTCATACAATTTACGAATTTGTTCTTCGAGATACAAAATAATCACACAGGTCCGACTGAATTGGAAACCATCCGATTTCGCTCATTTATACGTTTTGTCATTACATTAATAATGCCAAAAGAAGAATTCGTGTTTTTAATGAATAATTTTAATAAAAAGGAATTCTATCTCTCATTCGGATTTTTCGTATTTACAGAGTTGGGAAGGACCTTTTCCTCCGTGGTGATGGGGGCGGGATACATTGGATCTGGCAACCCAGCCCGGACTCAATCTGTGTCAATTGGCGAGCCGAGGCGGTGCGAATGAAGAAAGGCCAGAGCTCATTTCCCACCCGTGACGTACTTTTAACCTGCGTGGAGCTGCTAGCTACAACGAGAACTGGATTATTTCTCTTTTAGACCACCGGTGGTACCGTTTGTACAAGGCGGTGCTGCGCTTTGCGCTCGGTGTCTTGAAAGCGTCAAGTGACAGGTGTCGAAAGGTATCGAGGATGAAGCCCATCTCGACGCATCAGAGAAGCTTTTGTCTTCGTTTTCGGCCCTTTTTGTCCTTTTAACAGCCCACTTGATTTTGGAAAGGATAACACGACGGACCTGCAAGGGGTGCTGCAGCATGAGGATAATCCCAATTCATAATTAATCCTCGTGCTAATTGGTGAAGGGCTGCAGAATTGCGCGATGCTGCACGCATCGTGATTGAGTTTTGTTCCTTAAAGACACAATCGGTGACAAGCGCCACGTTTCAAGATGGTGTTTCGGAGCGAAGAGATGTGCTTGGCCCAGTTGTTCTTGCAATCCGGCTCGGAGTACGACTGCATCAGTGAGCTCGGTGAGCTGGGCCTGGTCGAGTTCCGAGATGTAAGTATTCACAACAATAAAAATACATGATACGTATTTTTTGTGTTTTATTATTTTGTGCGGGCTTCCTAGCGTGCATCGAAAGTGAACCTGCATTGTTGAAGACCACCCCAAGGTCTCCCCATCAGGCATCTGCTAAATCAGTGATTCGCAGCTATTGTGCAGCAGCACATTCGTGTGCCACGATATATCATCAGGTGTGCGGTTGGGAAATTATCGCATTTCACATAATTGTTCCGAAACAAAATATTAATTTACTCAAAATAATATATTTTTATTCAGCAATCTATGCCGGTGACATTTATTGATAGGCAGAGCAATTCAATGACCTTCCAGAAGCTGTGGTGAAACTGTCCACTTGTCATTCATACAGCAGAATTTGTTACGAAACATGCACAGTGAGTAACAAATTTCAGAATTAATTTAGATTTTTTTTTAAGTATACAAGTGTAATTTGTTCCCTGACCACACTCGTAACTAGCATGAAGTATTTGTATCACAAATAATCGCCCTCTTTGAGTGCGATGGCAATCCTATTCATCCAATCCAACCCTTTGTGTTTTGTCTATTGTGCGCTTTAGCCACTAGGGGGCAGTCTAATGCAAACATACATGAAGGGTTTAACAAAATGGATCGGCAAGCAGCGGTAATATTGTCGATCTTCGCGCTGGATAATAAATATTGTCTGTCTACATGGGTTGCTGCACTGTTTGTTGTCCCCAAGGTCATGTTGAATACGACAGCTTGAATTTGGTCAAAGTAACCTCACAAAGGTCTTAAAAATCTCTTCTGTTTGGCTTCCTTACGATCAAAATGGAACATTCTTATTTGAATGCAGATGTTTTATTGTATCTCGTTAGCTGAATCTCAGGGTAAAAGATTCACCATCCAGCCATTTTCTGTACTGCTAATCCTCAAAGGGTACTGAGAAACAGAAGATGGTGTTGATGTGCATTTTTTTTCTCTTTTTGCACTTTCTATACAAAAATCCAACTGTGCTGAGTGTGCTGTTAACTGACCTCTCTCCCAACGATCACCATGAACTTTGTTGATGATTTCAGCTCAATCCAAGCGTCAGCTCCTTCCAGCGACGCTTTGTCAGCGAGATCAAGAGATGCGAGGAGATGGAGAGGATTCTGGGTAAAGGAAGCTCCCTTGGGATGGTACTTCACATACGACATCGGCAAAACAAAACCCGCTCTCTATTGCGACTAGGTTATCTTTTGAGGGAGATCCAAAAGGCTAAGATTGCCGTTCCTGAGGATGACGAGAGCCCGCTTGCTCCTCCGCCTAGACAAGTGCTGGAGATCATGGTAAGTGTTGACAGCTGATGTACTACCTGAGGTATCAATCCCTCCATCCAGATTGTGGCCTATGGCGGGGTAATCATTTTAAAATTTTCACTCGCCTTTTCTGAGCCTTTTAAAACAGGGGTTCTCAAACTTTTCGGGTGCAAGGATGCGTTTTTTAGGCAGGGCGTTTTTTTGCAGACCCTGCAAGATTTCAGTGCATTCGGCGGTGTGTTCCCAACCGTTTACTTGAGTGACAGAAGTTCCAGTTGCCATCACCTCATGAACAAGTTGCAAAGAAATCATGATTCCCCCAAACCGTATGGGCTGCTTTGTTCTCAATTTCAGGAGCAGCTTCAGAGGCTGGAGATGGAGCTCAGCGAGGTGGCGAGGAACAAAGAGAAGCTGCGCAGGAACCTGCTGGAGCTCATCGAGTACACCCACATGCTGAAGATCACGCGCGCCTTCATCCACAGTCGCTCCAGAGTGAGTGTCGTTCAGCCCGCTTGTGTCACTTCCGCAAATGGAGCATCCCTCATCACGGATAAAAACGTTGTTGTGTCCCCTTTCATGTGGTAATTAGCACGAGGCTCTTGGTCCCCAATATGAAGAATTCCCCACCATGGAGACAGACTCGGTGTCGGGCTACACTGGCATGCAAAGACTCGGAGCCAAGCTTGGGTGAGCCGCAATCATGTGCAGTGTAGGAGCACACTGCGTGTACTCGAATGGACATAACTTTATCGTGACTTAGCTCCACGTGATTGTGCGCCGGCTTGTAGATTCATCTCCGGTCTCATCCAGCGGGTGAAAGTGGAGGCCTTTGAGCGCATGCTCTGGAGGGTGTGCAAGGGCTACACCATCCTCAGCTACGCGGAAGTGGATGAGAACCTCGCTGACCTCGACACGGTGAGCTCATTCCAAACGCTTCCGTTCTATTTTCGCTTGTCCTCAGTCGGGTGGCGGGTGAGCTGTGAAGAAATCATGTGCTGGTTGCCAAGCCAATCATGGGCGCGCTTGGTGTTGTTTTAGGGTGAGATAAGCAAGAACGTTGTGTTCCTCATCTCCTTCTGGGGCGACCAGATTGGACAGAAGGTTCAAAAAATCTGCGATTGGTGAGTTCTTCATCGCCGCAACTTCCTCGCTTTCAGCCGGCGATGTATTGAGCTCACCGTTCTCCTCAGCTACCACTGTCATCTTTATCCTCACCCCGAAAACGACGAAGAGAGGGCGGACATGTTGGACAGCTTACGCACGCGCATCCAAGACCTCAACAACGTAGAGCGGCTCAGACCGATCGTCGTGGTTTTGTCTTCGAACGCGATAAGGCGAGAGCTCCTCCTGTTCCCCCGCAGGTTTTGCATCGCACCGAAGACTACCTGAAGCAGGTCCTGCAGAGGGCCGCGGAGTCGGCGTACGCTTGGGTCGTGCAGGTGAAAAAGATGAAGGCCATCTACCACATCCTCAACCTGTGCAGTTTCGACGTCACCAACAAGTGTTTGATCGCCGAGGTGTGGTGTCCTGTCAGTGACTTGGCTAACCTGCGGGGGGCGCTAGAGGAAGGCTCGGTAAGGAAGGCGCAACATTTTGCTCTTGACAAAAGTCGGTGTTTGGTTTCAGGATACGTTTTCCATCATATTTTATATTCTCCCCCTCAGCGAAAAGGCGACGCAACTGTTCCATCGTTTGTGAACCGCATCCCGAGCACCGACACCCCTCCCACCTTAGTCCGAACCAACAAGTTCACGTGTGGATTTCAAAGCATCGTGGAGGCCTACGGGGTGGGGGACTATCGTGAGGTGAGCCCAGGTAAGCGTCGCGTGGGTCATGCTGGTTCTCAGACTTTTGAGTCCAAGGACCCCTTCCGGGGGAGAAATTTCAAAATAAAAGGCACTCCTTGATTTGTTGTGTTTGTTTCATTGTAGCACCGTTATACAGATATGCACTTTTCAAAATGGTACAACATAATTTGGGTGAGATTATTTGGTGGTGTTGTTTTTTTTTGTTTTTTTTTTAAATTGCAGCACCTTACACCATCATCACATTCCCCTTCCTGTTCGCGGTCATGTTTGGTGACTTGGGCCACGGCACGGTGATGAGCTTCTTTGCGCTCTGGATGGTGCTGACAGAAAAAAAGCAGATGAGGAAACGCTCCGGTAATGAGGTGAGCATTTCCAGCGCGTCACATGATGACTCCCCCCGCCCCCAGCCCCCTCAAAAAATTCCACTAACAAAAATGACCTTTGCAGATATGGGCAACCTTCTTCAACGGGCGCTACATTATTCTCATGATGGGGCTCTTCTCCGTCTACACGGGGCTCATTTACAACGATTGCTTCTCCAAATCGCTCAACATCTTCGGCTCGGGCTGGAGCGTCAAGGCCATGTTCACCAGTCAGCAGTGGACGTATGTTATTCATCAAGGGGTTGCAAAAGTCCCTTCTCTGGGAACTCAGCGACATCTGACATTTTATGGGAAGTGAAATTGCCATTTGGCCTCGAACTGAAAACTCGAACCACATTTTATGCACATTTTGTTGAGATGATACAGAACATTTGAAAGAGGCCTCACGACTGCATGTAAACCCACCTCGTGATCACTTTATAATTTATATTCATATTTAGACCATAGAAGAAATGTTTGTGTAAATCGACATCATGGTTTAATTAATAAGTATAAAAAGAGTGATTTTTTTTTTCACGCCAGTATTTTAATACTTATTTGTTTATATTTATTCATATTTTGTACGTTTATGTATTCGCGGGACAGTTCGGATTTTCATAATGTCATCCAACAGGGGTCTCAAACTCATGGCCCGGGAGCCCTTTGTGGCCCGCAGGGTGATAGTTTTCGGTCCCCTTTTACATATCAAAGTATTATGCTAGTGTGGCCCATTATGGCATTCACTTGATTGATTACGTGGAGATTTTTTTGTGTATTTATATACATTTGATCAATAGTTTTAGAGTAAAACATTTACAACAAATTTAACTCCCATATAATCCCAGGACATGTGCCCATGCTTTGAGCCTAATGGCAATGGCCCATTTTGTACTTTACAGGAACAAAACACTTCAAACAAACACTTTGCTCACGTTGGACCCCAATGTTAGCGGAGTGTTCTCGGGCCCGTACCCGTTTGGCATCGATCCTGTGAGTAAATGCACTCAGCGCTTATACAATTAGTCAAATGATGTGTCATCACTTTTTTTTTTTTTTTAACTCCACAGATATGGAGCATGGCGGTTAACCGTCTGTCCTTCCTGAATTCCTATAAAATGAAGATGTCTGTGATCATTGGAGTCATCCACATGAGTTTTGGTGTGGTTTTGAGTGTTTTTAACCACTTGTGAGTCGCCACAGTTATAGACCAAAATGATGATTGCTCAGGAGCAATACCATAGCTCATCATCAATACGTTCTTCCTTTCGCCTTAGGCACTTCCAGCAGAAGTATGACGTCTATCTGCTGTTTCTCCCCGAACTGCTCTTCCTGCTTTGTCTCTTCGGCTACCTGGTCTTCATGATCGTTTACAAGTGGTTGGCCTTCTCTGCGCGGGACTCCAGTCAGGCTCCTAGCATCCTCATCCACTTCATTAACATGTTTGTCATGCAGGGCAAGGACGTCGCTCCTCTCTACTCGGGACAGGTAACGCCACGCCGCGTAGGACTATCAACCTTAACTGTCCCCCTAAATTCCCTTCTGTTTCCCCAGACGGGGCTGCAGATTTTCCTGCTCGCGATCGCCATGCTGTGTGTCCCCATGCTGTTGTTAGGAAAACCTCTGTTCCTCTACTGGATGCATCGTGGGGGGAAAGGCCTCCGCAGGCGTAGAGTAGGTCTTCCCTTGGCATCAGGGACCGATTTAATAAGACCTCATATCCGAGGATCTCTGACCACAAAGATTCCATTTGTCCGAAAGCAACATTGTTTTACGTCCACAAGGGCTACGAGAGGGTGAGGCGTGCTAGCGAGGATGACAGTTCGGCAGCGGCAGCTTACGAGGACGATGAAGAGGAGGGACTGGATGAGATGACCCACAGGGACCTTCGTCCTAGAGAGGTGAGAGCAATACCAGTTTACCGTTGGAACACATTTTTGTGCTTATTTGTACTATTTTGTGCATTTGTATCGTGTTTGAGCGCTTATTCGGGGTCAAAACTAACTCCTTCCATTTTGACAGATGTATCGCCAACTTTCCCTTGAGAGTAACTTGTTTCCATTGGCATTTGTGCAACAGTTTGACTTTGCCGACGTGCTCCTGCATCAGGCCATCCACACCATCGAGTACTGCCTGGGCTGCATCTCCAACACCGCTTCGTACCTGCGACTGTGGGCACTCAGCTTGGCACACGCGCGTAAGCGTAGCGCAGTTTGACACACTCGCAATCTATCGCGATCTACTGATACCCGATTCCAAGCGAAAGAAAATGCTCACTTTTGATCCACACTGTCAGGAGGTATTCATTGAACAGCGTGGCCGGTCGTTGTCGTAATGCGCTTGCAGAGCTGTCAGAGGTGTTGTGGGACATGGTGATGCGCCTGGGCCTGCGGATCACAACCAGAGTCGGCGTGGTGTTTTTAGTGCCTGTGTTTGGCGTCTTCGCGCTGCTCACCGTGTCCATTCTGCTGGTCATGGAAGGCTTGTCAGCCTTCCTGCACGCTCTCCGCCTCCACTGGTGAGCTAACGTCATCACCGCCCTATGAAACCACATCTTGTTCTCTATTTATTGGAATTGGTGTTCACCGTTTGGCAAAAATTGCACGTGAACTGAATGCTAATATGACCGTGTTATGTTTGTCTTCAGGGTGGAGTTTCAGAACAAATTCTACCACGGGACAGGTGTCAAGTTTGTACCCTTTGACTTCTCGCTGCTGCCCTCTGTTTTCGAGCACGATGGCCTCCTCTAAATTGTTGAATAGGCAAGCGGAAGTGGGCCTTTTTAAGTGGCAAGGATGCCGCATACACTGGGACAGTTCTCACTGTGAAAATGACAAGGAACCCTCAAGACGATTCACTCTCGTAGCAACCTTTTTTTCCCCACCATGATGATTTGAAACAAACACAAAAAAAAGAATCTACCTGCTCTGCTGACTGCCTTACTTCTCCACCCAGCAAAAATCACAGGTTGTACATTTATTAATGATTTTAAAAATACAGTTGTTATATCGGGCAACTCTCCAAGGCACACCGGTGATTTTAAATTACGTTGTGCTGTGGATTATCGATATTGGATTGAAAACCAACTATTATACAGCACAATGTACAGTTAATAAACAGTTTTAGGATCACAATATAGTGCCATAACGCTTTACTAGTGATTTGGGTGATTTTAGGTGGGCTTTTGCTCCCCGGAATTTCATCAAACAAATGAAAATTTCTCGAGCAAAATAAGCACTTTTCAGAAATGATTGTATACACTTTTTTCCTGTTTATGATTGTGACGATGCCAAATTCAAACAATGTATTGGCTATTTGAATATTCAGTCATTTATTTAAATGTAACTTTCCCTGTCATATGTAGAAAAAAACGCAACCAATGCTTCTTGTATATGTTGATATGGTTAATCATGGTATTTATTTAAACGACTATCTGTATGAGAGTCTTGATATTTTGCCATTTTGGTGTGTTAAATAAAGCTTTCAAGACTCGCAAGCACTTAGAAACGGTGACGCATTTTATTTCATTAACACGGAGCAATAATCGGGCATACGAGTGCATTTGGCACCAGTAAATTCTCACAACATCCTGGCCACCAAGTCACATATTTTACATATATTACATATAAATATTAATAAAGGTTACCATTTTTATGCGCTATATTTGTGCCGTATTCTGACAACGCTGTCGCAAATGAATCGGCCTCATTTTTGTTGCAATCTACTATCCCGACTGTAGAAGTTTAAATTAATTGAAAGGGGGAGTATAAATTAAACCGAAGTATATTTCATCTCGTTTTACATTCAAATAGCGTATTCATTTCCTATTTCAGTGTATTTATTAGATTTTTTTTTTTTACTTCTTTTGTCCTCAAACGTTGCCATACACCTGCCGCCGCCACTGTATGGCAACGTCGTGAGCTCTTTATTACAGCGTTTGTCGTCAAAGTAAAAGTGGTTAGAAGAAAGGAGTGTGTGCTTTCACACCGGGCATCAATGCAAGTTACTATCGTATCTTCACAACCGACGTTAGACAGCCCGCCCTCCCCAAACCCCACGCCCCCTAGCGGGGGACTTGGCTGGCACCGGGAGGAATCTTTTGACAGTTCGTGCAGTAGCCGTCCAGCTGCAGGCTAGCCGCGGTTAGCATCCGGTTAGCTTCGCTGCACAGCTGGGCTCATCTGGACGGGGAAGGCTAACGGCTCCGGGCGGCGTTTTCCTCCGACGAGCCCATGGATGAGCTGGTGAGGAGCTTGCCCTCCCCGACTCTGCCGGGGATCCAGCTGCCCCGTCTGGACACGCACAAGGGCTGGCTGTTTAAATGGACCAACTACTTGAAGGGATACCAGAGGCGATGGTTCGTCCTCAGTAACGGCCTGCTGTCCTATTACAGGTACCGTAAAAAGAACGGGCATGGGCTGTGGTTAAGGTCGTTATTCCTTGGATGGCCGGAAATTGGGCTTCTTGGAAAAAAAAAAAGTGTATAATATTTCTAACGTATTTAGAAAATGCAACGTAATATTAAAACAACCAAACACAATAAATGATTACTGATTATTGCTAAATGTTAAATTTTGTCACTAAGTGTTAAACCCTTCAAATATTTATGATTAAAGTTCAAATAATTATAATTAATTTAATTTATTATTCAACAGGCTTAGATATCCACATAAATTTCTCTCTCTCTTTTTTTTAAGTTATGAAAAATGGGAATTTATCCAACAGGCAACAAAAGAGTATTAGGAATTACATTGCACAATGGAAGACATTCACTCAACACACGATAGATACAGTAGATAGACATGCATACAATATTGTAGCCACAGTTGTATTTGTACAGTTAGTGCAAAGTGGGAGGGACCATAGAAGTGAGTCTTTGATTAATTTTGTTACAACCAACATGCGGAGTGTATGAAACATCTGCTGATTCATCCTGAGGAGATGTTGAAGACAAAACATTTTTTGGGGGTCAAAATATGATGTTGGTCATAATTTTAAGAGGGTGAAGATATTAATTGTGCATATCATATGTATGCCATAATACATACTAAACATTGTCCAGGAAGTCAGCAAATATCTTCTTTTGTTCTTTTCTGCCCACCCTCCAGAACGCAGGCAGAGATGGGGCACACCTGCCGAGGCACCATTCCTCTGGCGACCGCTCACATCGAGCTGGGTGACGCGTGCCACTTGCTGATAACCAACGGAGGCCGTAGCTACCACCTGAAGGCCACCTCTGAACCAGAGTGTCAGCACTGGTTGTCGACCCTGCAGCAAGCTAAAGTCAATGCCAATGCTCTCATTCATCACTCTGGTAAGACTTGCACTCTACGTTATGTTTCACCGCATTGATGATGCTGTTTAATGTGTATGGATTAGACAAGGCTATTATCCCTCTGCCATCTGCACCACCCACCCTGGCTCCTGTGCCAGCTCCATTTGAGTGAGAGGCGCTAAAAGGGGTAAATTAGAATGGATTTATTTTAAGTTGTCTTGTTGTTGTTTTTGTTTTGTTTGTTTTTTCCCAATAAGCAGTATGCGCTTGGGCAAGAACGAGGCTGAAGATGTCAATGAACCGCTCATATTTATTACATTTACTACAAGATATTATGAAAAGGCTGCCTCAGATTTCTGACTGACTTTAGCCACAATGTGAATACAAAAAGAAAAAAACAGCCTGTAAGCATTCTGTGTGTTGTTTGCTGGACACAAGAGGGAAGTGTTGTTCAAGAAGGACCGGTCAAGGGCATTTTAAAGTGATGTAGAGCGCTGCAAAGCCTGACGTCATCATGCCGTCCTTCACTCCACCTACACTATCATTATTTTTTTTTTTAAAAAGCCATCATTAATTTCCTGATGGCATGTTTGACCCCCGCGTGTAATGGAATGTCTTAAAACGAATTGCAATTGTGAACTGAGTTCCACGTGACGTACGCACTCCCGCACATGCACCTCCCCCCTCCCCTCCCCTCTGTGTTGTGCTCCGCTATGACGTCAGCAAGAATGAATGAATGACCTTGCTTTTGGCTCCACCTCCCCTTCAGGAAGCACAAGAGGTAAAAAAAAACAAAAAAAAAAACCAAATGAGAGAGACAGCAGGAAGATTTTCATTCAAAATGTTATTTTGCACACAAGCAGGCAGAAAGGGCGGGATGAGTGCAGATCTCCCAATGAAAGTGACCTTGTAAGTAACCGGTTCATTGCTTAGCGCTCGGACAAGATTAAGACTTTAAAATAGAAGCTTTAGGCATCCGCGTGTGTCTCTATGCGTGTCGCACGGCTGCTTTTTGTTTCCTCTGATGGGTGTTTGAACGATAAACGGTAGTTAGCGAGCAGCCGAGCACTTGTCATTTATTCAAAGCTGGAGTTTTTGTGCTTGAGTTGCTCTTTGTATATTCTGTTGATGACATTTTCTATGTGAATATTTTACTTGAACATTTTAGTATGACTTGAGTCAGAGTTATTTGATGCAACTACTTCGATAAATTGTCCTCTTTTGTACTGATTCCTTAATGCTCCCACTCACTCTGGCCATGTTAGCATTTGGGCTTCAATCAAGTACTCGTGTTGTTTATGAATGGCAAAACCCTTTAATAAGGTTATTTGTGTCCCTTAAAAGTGAATTTCAGTCTTTATCGCGGCTCTGGACGCTAGCGGAAGGATCCCAATATAAAAGCATAAATGTTTATTTACGACTCAGGTCACAAGAAAAGGCAGCGACATGACCACTTTCCACGAATAAATGAATTTATACACATATATGTGGAAGGATTTGTGGATATTGTAAGAGTGAAGAGATGCCAACTGGGCTGCAGTTATGCTCCAGCAAACTTCCAGCTTGTTAGAGAGTCCAACTTTGATTCTGTCCTCCCACGCGTGTCCATAGTGATGCTCCATCCGTTAACGGTGGGTGTGCTTGCACTCGTGAGTCACCAAAAGACACCCAGAAACATCTCCCAACTCTCCAGCGTACTTGTATCTCCAAATCATACGTATTTCCAGATCCACTCCATCTTTACTGCTTGGTGTGCGCTGGCCGGAGAGCATAAGGTGCTCCACCATATAAATAACAGGCATTATTGGGATGATTTCTTTCCTGCTTTATATGGGTCATCAAACTACTCCAGACATTTGAAGGGTTTTTCCAACCTCTCCCTTATAACATTCCCCATCCTAAGATTTTGTTCATGTGCTTTGCCCAGGCTGAAAGTCCAGCCCACATGCCCTGCTTTTAAAATCCCTGTGACTGATGGCGAGTCTCCGAAAAAGAAGGGGTGGCGGCAAATTGGACTGCGTCATCCCCCCACCCCACCCCATTACTAAATATAGCCAAGCCTTCTGACTACACAGGCTTATGTTTCCAGGGCAACCATGCTCATTCACAGCTTCCCCTTCGCGTAAAAGGATGCAGTGTATGGGATGGGCTGTGTCGAGTTTTCACCCGCACGCCTGTGCCAAGGCATTCGCTTCAACTTTAGCAAAATGAGATGGAATAGAGGAAGTTGGGTATCCACCTGTTGCCTCTGTCTTGACACCATCAGAGACTCCTTGTTTTTCTGTCTGTTAGCTCAACCTTTACCCTTTTAATGAAAGTAGAAGTGCAATTATTCAGAACCTAATGAGGACAAACACTGTAGAAAACAGATGGATGGAATCTCTTTGGTGTCACTGAGCAGATGATTCGGGAGATGAAGAAGGTCCTGGCCCGCATGATGCTAGGTTCTTAAGCCAAGGCGCGCTGAAGACGTTAGCCAGCAAGCTGGATGATCTGAGCACCTGTAACGAGCTGATCGGAAAGCATGGCGCCGCCCTTCAGCGCTCCCTCAGCGAATTCGAGGATCTCCGCGGGTGCGTCGACGGCGCAGATAAACTGAAGACGGTTAACGAGCGAGCCGCCCTATTCCGCATCACCTCCAATGCTATGATCAATGTGAGTGTGTGAGCCGGCAGCCGTCCTCATTAGCTTCTGCTCCCCGAGCTGGGGGTGGGGGAGATTCGTCGTCTTAAGTTCTGTGTTGTGTTCTCACCTCAGGCTTGTCGTGACTTCCTGGATGTAGCACAGTCTCACAACCGGAGGTGGCAGAAAACCCTGCAGCATGAGCAAGAGCAGCGTCACTATCTGGAGACCACCATTGAACAGCTAGCCAAACAGCACAACAGCCTGGAGACGGCCTGGAGGGAGAAGCCCACCTCGTACACAGGTGAGACGCACCGCCGTCAATACATTACGACTCGAGAGAAATAGCTTTCCGTTGCTGATGCGTACGTCTCCGCAGGTGTGCAGAGATCTCGCGAGGTGGACGAGAGTGACGAGAACGATGAATTCTTTGACGCCATGGAAGACGCGCCATCATTCATAACAGTGAATGCAGAAACCAAGCACAGGTGTAGATTTTGTGTGGATACGAAACGAATCGTTCTGTCTTTCAGTCGTTCTTCACCAAGACAATCCTTTCTCTCAGGCGCTCCGGGAGTAGTCAGAGTATGATGAGTGGCGGA